ACAGAATCAAAAGATGCACCCCTTTTGTTCCAAAAGGATACCCTACAAAGATGTGGGGTGTAGTTCTAGGCTCAAATTTTGTCCCTATGAACCTTTGGTATTGTGGGATAACAAAGAACATCCAAAGCTCTTTAATGCTGAATATTGAGGTTTTCTTTGGTATAGAACTTCAAAAGGACATTTCCCATGTAAGGAGCTAGAAGGTTAACCTGTTTATGATATGAGTGGCTGTTAGGATGCACTCTCCCCAATATTTCTGGGGTAAGTGAGACTGAAACATTAAGGCTCTGGCTGTCTCTAACAGATATTTGTGTTTTCTTTCAACTACACTATTTTGCTGTGGTGTGTATGGACAAGACCTTTGGTGAATTATGCCTTTGGATTGGAAATAGAGAGTGGCTTCATTGTTTATGAACTCTAAGTCATTGTCTGACCTAATGGTCTTTAGGGATGTGTTAAATTGGTTTTCAATCATGGAAATGAAAGCTTTGATCACTTGAAGAGCATTACTCTTGCAACTCAAAAGATGTGTCCATGTGGATCTGCTACAGTCATCCACCATGGTAATAAAATACTTGTGATTATCATGTGTGGTAGTATTGTAGGGTCCCCAGAGATCCACATGCAGAAGTTCAAACAATGTAGTGGAATGAGTTGTGCTCTTAGGAAAGGGTAATCTGGTCTGCCTAGACATAGGACAAACTGGACAGACAAATGGTTGTTTGGTTTTAAAATTTGCAGATATGGAAATTATGGCTTTCATCTTTGCAAAAGGTACATGACCAAGCCTGTTGTGCCACAACAAATCTTCATTATCTCTAGGGAACAAGACTGAATTCAAGACAGTGTGCTCATTATTATTATGTGAATTGGAGCCAATTACAGGTGAATGTAAAAGACATGAATGAGAAGAGTATGTAGAATTCTTTATGACAGAATTGGAAATGAAAAAACAAGAAGTACTAGCAGCTCTCCCAGCATTGTTATCCATCAAGCATCTTGAGCACAAGAAATATAAACCATCCCTGCACTTACCAATCTCCTGAGGCCTCTTCATTGAAGGGCCCTGCAATAGACAAGTAGTGTCAGTGAATGTTACAGTGCCTTTTAAAGGAACAGTAAGAGAATGTATGGAGATGAGATTGAATTTGAAAGAAGGCACATACAATACTTTATACAATGTGATCATAGGTGTAAGTGTTACATCTCCTAGCTCAGTCACTTTTACTTTATATCCATTTGGTAGGCTTATCAAAATAGGATATGGTAAAGGTCTAATGTTTGTCAAGAAGGATTTGTGAAAAGTCATGTGGTTCGATGCCCCGAATCTAGATCCACAAGTCAGATTTTGATTCAAAATGTTTGCATGAAAATTTACCAAGATAAATAGAGGAAGTACAAATTACGTTACCTGCAAAGTTCACAAAACCATTACCCATATCAGGACTATCTGCAACTGCTCCAGCATTGTTCACTTGGAAGTGATGCAGCATTGTCATAACATTGTGGTATTGCTCCCTTGACAAACTTACATTGTCAACCGTATCCTTCTTCATTTGATTGTCCCCTTCATTGAACAGCGAATCAACTGGTGTACCATGAACATTCCCTGCAACTCGTTTGTAATTGTAGTTGGGATTAGAGTTATATGCCTGTGTGTTTCTGTTGAAATGTGGACTCTTAGTATGCTGAGCTGGTGGATTCTGCTTGTTATGTTCATTCTGATTGTTTTGGGGGTATCCATGAAGCTTATAACAGTTCTTTACTGTGTGTCTTGTTCTTTTGCAGTAATCGCAAAACAATTGAGATTTGTCCACATAATTTCCTGCAGATGAGCGTCCTGTATTACTGGTGGATCCATGATTGAAATTTCTGGACCCTGAAGAACTAACATTAAGTGAAAGCAGAGTCCATATTCATCACATTGTGTGGTTTGAACTCTCGTTGCTTTTCCTCTTGAATCAGAATTGAGAAAACTTGAGCCATGGAAGGTAAGGGATTCAACATAAGAATACTCCATCTTACAGCAGTGTATACCTCATTTAATCTCATGAGGAACTGTATCAAACGACGATCCTGCTCAGCTTTATGCACATTTTCCTTTGCTCCATACGAACACACACAAGTACAATGATTCTTTGTGCAGAGATTGTTGAGTTCTTCCCACAATTTCTTCATCTTGGTATAGTAAGCAGTGATGTCAAGAGTTCCTTGGGTCAGATTGTTGATTTCCTTATGGATCTGATACAGTTTTGCCCCATTCGTCTGATCATATCGATCTTCAAGCTCCTTCCAGAGCTCCATCAAATTGTTGACATATTCCACACTGTCCGAAATTTCCTTGGACAGAGAATTGAGAATCCACGATATAACCATGTCATCGCAATGTTCCCAGTGCCGGAATTGGATGGAATTGATTTCAGGTTTCTTACAATCGCCATTGACAAAACCTAATTTGTTCTTCGCCGAGAGTGCTCGGAGTACACTCTGTCGCCATGATCCATAACCTCCTCCGTCAAAAGGAATTGGAACGAGTGCTGCGTCAGGGTTATCTGAAGGATGCAAGTACAACAGATTGTTCGAATCAATCAAGCTAGGTCCACCTGCTGTAACATTGGTAGCAGCAGTTGATATCGATTCATCAATCGCCATGAGAATCAAACAAGAGTAGAAACTAGAAGAAAAGAAATCCAACAATGGCAACAAAGGCCAGAGAAAAAGGAATTGATGCGAAGATGAAATCCCCTGTCGAATCTTCACCTAGGCTCTGATACCATGTTAAATTCAGGACTCCACCATTGATACAAGCTCCATAGGAGCATCTTTCATAATGTGGATCAACTTAGAGAAAATGAAAACCGTTTCTTATTGAAGACGTCAGTATGTATTTATATACAATGATGTGGCTAAACTAACTAACCTACTCAACTAGTTAGTTATGTAACAAACTAACAGAATCAACAACTAACATGCTGACTCAGCATATAATTAGGCAGTAGCTAAGATCTTAACAGCGATTTTCAATTATTTTTTTAACTGAGTAACGGTGTTAGAAGAAAATCGCTACGTCAGGAGCTATTTTGCTATTTTGGTAAAAATAAATTTTGATGTACCCTTTTGGAATTTTTGGCAATTTTTTTTGGCCTTTAGGCTCTAGACTCAGAGATAATGAATCCACTTCAAGGGTAAAGTCTCTATAATTCAAAAGTATACATCTGCTCAAACCATATTTAAATTCCAAGGCCTCTACTTCCAAATTACTGTCACATTGTATAGGTGAAGAGAAGGCCATCACAAATTCAAACCAGATCTTGAGGACAAACAAACTCAATAAAATTGTCGCATATCTCATTGAACAACAAGTAAAACATGACGAATCCTTCTATTTGGTCTAGTTTGAGATTCTTGTTCATTATTTTATCTATATAATATAGTATCTTATCAAGCATATGATTGAATTTAGATATTTTTCATCCTTGTGAGTTGAGGATTTTTCAAATACTAATTATATACCTTCGCGAAATCACAATAAGTTATTGTCATTATTTAACCATAAAAAATAACTTATTTTGTCATATCAAATTGGTTTGTAATGGTAATTTAGTTGAGTGATTTTATTGATACAAAGATTTAAGCTGAGTGATTTTATTGATACAAAACAAAGTTAATGACTTTACTAGATAAATTTTCAAAATCGAATGATCTTTTGAGATAGAAAGTATAAGAGTTAGAAATGATTATAAAAGCGTAAGTATTATTGATACAATGTGTGATATTTATACATGTTACCACTATAGAAGAGAAAGGAGTATGCTGGACATAAGAAACCTAAAGAGAAGAGGACTAACTACGTATAACTCGAACATACTAACGTACTAGGACTATAAAAAATACTAATGTACTAGAACTCTACATCCTTACCCTTATCAGAAGGACCACGAGAAAAAACAAAAGGTAGTTTACTGTCGTAGAGATGTCGAGCTTCACTCGCGATTCAACTGGAACTAATAAGGACCTGAACTGAATGAAACGTCAAATCTCTCATGCGGCTATCTAAAGAATGAAGAATCACTACTGAACGAAAGCGAGTGAAGTGAGTATGAGTGGAACAAGCTAAATAGAAATTGTAGCAACAAACTACTAAGGAAATAATTGTGTTAATGTTTCAAATAAAAATATACTTTCAAACTCAATATTTTCTAAGAGGCAAGTTTTGAAATAATTTAAAAGGTAATAGTGGAAAGTAGTCTTTAAATTATGTCCTTAAAGTTTATTTTCTTTTAAGGTGCATCATACCCAACAATTCACTTAATATGAACTATGAATATATAAGACGAATTGTAATTAAAAGTATTTTTTTTATAATTTAATCAAACCTAATTTAGTTTTGAGAGTAGTCATCGAAACGGAAAATTTGTTTTCACTCAAGGAAAGAGGTCAAATTTTTCAAGACATATTGAAGAATGAGTTTGGAGTAAGACCTAGGAAAGACCTGTCTTGGCCTGGCTTTTTGTTAATATCAAAATCATAATCAATAATTTCTTTATCAGTTTATTGGTATGTCAATAAAAACAAAAACTTCTCACTCAGTCTCAAATTATGTAATTAAATTTGACTGGATACGAAATGTAAAAAATATGAAAAGATTTTGCAATATTTCAAAACTATTCTTAAAAATAGTATAATATCTTTATAGATTTTTTGTCAAATAAGAGAATCCCACATACGTAAAATACTATAAAATATTGATGGCGTCATTAAAATATTGTAAAATATAGAAATATGTCTTTTTTAGATTGATTAAAAAAGAATTTATGTATGAATTGAGACAATAATGAGAGTAATAAAGATTCTTAATATTTTTTAATCGAATTGCGGTTTGGTTTGGTTTTTAATCATAACCATAAACAGCCTACTTCCAATGGTTACGTACACTAGAGATTCTCAAGTTCTAAAACTTAGTTAAGCCACCATTTAACCACAAACGTGACACAAATTAGTCCCAAAATGAAAAGCTTGGATCGGAAATTAAAACCAATAGAAGTAAAGGATCAAATATCTATTTAAATGTCAAATGCAGTACAAATTCAACATCGAGTTGCTTAACAACATTCCATATATTCTAAAATAAGTTTACATCATTCATTCATTACAGGCTTGTTTTCACTTGCTTTTGGCCTCTTTTCCTTGGACTTCTGCTCTTCTGTTTTCCTGTAGAATTAAACAAAAAGGTTAGAGTGAAGTGAGGCTGTTGACACGACAATGAAGGAACAAGTGGACACGAAAACTACATTAGATAAAGATACAGGAATGTTCTCTGCAAGCTCACAAAGCTAATCGAGAAATTTATGTATAAAATCTATTCAAAGCCTCCACCTAAAAGGAAACGAACAAAAGGAGATAATGTAAAAGGAAATCTAACAGACGGAATATTCTCTGCAAGCAGGCAAAATCCATTAAACTTTACGTGTTAGGTTAGGCTATGAATTTGAGAATGTAACCCTAATACAGCATAAATCATAAATTTATAATACCTCCATGAACAATAAATCATAAAACATTGAGCGACGATGAATTTATGGTTAGCGAGAGAATTTATATGTACCTCTTGTCAGATGCGCCTCCCTTCTGGCTGAGGAACGATCGGAATAGCGGCGAATTCACGTCGTAAATCATCCTAGTTGGTCGGCAACAACTAGTACAATAAACAAAACCCTAAGTTTCACTTTCAACTTCTCTTTGTTAATTGCTTCTATTTATATTATATCGCTCCAGTAATTGGTAATGGGCCGCTTGTTCAGACCTTGTGGGCTAAGTTAATGAGGAATGGGTTACACTTAAATAACAAACAACTTTTTTACGGGGATAATAACCATTACACTTAAATAACAAACAACTTTTTTACGGAGATTTTTATTAAAAATTGCGACTTTTATAAAATGTTGTGACTTTTATGAAAGGTTGTAATTTTTTCAAAGAGTTGTGACCTTTCTGATAAGACACAATAAAAATTTGTCATTTGTTGTCTATAAATAGAGAGATCTCCTCTCATTTTAAAACAATGAAAATTCTGAACTTCTTCTTCTTTTGCACAATTAAATATTTGTGTATTTTGCTCGTGTTGAGTGGCTCACTGCCACCATTGTTTTGTGTATCAGTACACTGGTGAATAGAATCGTTCTATCTTGAGAGGATTTTATTCTTTAAACCTAGGGAACTAGAGGGGAATAATTTACTGAAGGCGACATTGTGCATTCAGTCGACTCGATTTTTTCCTTTTAATTTCATTCTATTGTTACAGATCCTGGTACGTTTTTTTACAGCCATTCATTTATGTTTATGTTATTAATTTTTATTTTTGAGTACATGCTTTAAACTTTGTTATTTATATTTCTGCAAAGTTATTGTTATAACTATTTGTTTGTATAGATTAAAATAACATACGTTAATTGAGTATTCAGAAAAGTTTTCTCTTCTGCAATTGTTCAACGTACAATAAAAACCCCTTTTAAGATCTATACTACCATCTCTTGAAGACAAAATTCAAATTTGGTATGTCATTATAAGGACATAAAGGCCTTAAAAAATCTTATCGTACCTTGATGTGCCAAGTGAACCAGGAAAAAAAGACAAACGTTAAATAAAACTTTTTGACATGGCTTCAAGGATGTTGTGTCAGATGCTCTATAAAGGAATATGACTAGATTTGTAGCATCTCGCAAATTGAAAGAACTAGAAAGAGCTAGAATTTGAAAGAGTGATTTTGGAAATAATAAAAATTTGGAAATTTGACAAGAGTTAAGTTAAGAATGAGTTTTGGGTCAACTTCAAACGATCATAACTCCTGGATCAGGATGAGTTATGTATTTTTCCAGATACCTTAGAAAATATCTTTGAATTATCTTTCCAATGCCGCCAAGTTTGCACAATTACGAGTTCGTATAAGTGAGATATGCCCATTTGAAGTTGGGCTGTATGGATAAGGAAATTAAAGTCTAATCCGGATTTTGGAAGGGTATTTTGGTCTTTTCCATACCCAATGACTTAATTTTATTTTTTGGTAATTAATTAGGGTCTAAACTGATATTGGTCAGTTTACGCTTTTGAAATTTGAGTTAGGGTTTTGAAAGAAGAGAAAAGAAGAGGAGAAAGGAGAAGAGAAAGCAAGGAAATCGTCAATTCTTGAAGCTAAGCTCGTGGATTTCGTCAAGGTGTGATCCATACGAGGTATGTGAGACTTTCATAGCGTTGGGTTCGTTCACCCACGCGCCAATCATGTTAAGTTCAGCGAAATTCGTTCTAAAAAGGTTGAAAGTTAGATGTTCTTGATGTATATTCTTGAATTTACTTTCGTTCTTGAATTGGGCTGAGACTGAGGAGTTTTAGAGATTAATACGTTGATTTTTAAGAGTTGTTTTGAGTTAGATTCTTGTGTACATATGCTGGGTATCTGAATCTAAAAGAGAATTTGAGAAAAATAGTCGAGTTTAGGCAATTTGAGGTTGGAAAAACGAAGAAGGAAAAGTCGGGCAAATCTGGGCACCAGGTCCACGGCGCAGACCTGTTCCTCAGATTTGGGGAAACTTCTTTCGCATCGCGGAGCGGTCACGGACCGTTCTGCCTCAAAAGTTATTTTTGCAACCAAATAATTAAATACATCTCC